AGGGCGCTTCACTTTGAAGAGCCACTGGCCATCGACTATGTTCACCCCAGGTAGGAGAATTGCGTCGACGTAGGTGTCGGTGGATCTTCAAGATGCCATGGCAGCTAGCCACTGAGAGGCCCAGGGTCCCGAGGTCGCCTCAATGTAAGTGCGAGGGGTCGGGATATCAAAGGCGTCTGGATCCCCCTCATGGACTAGCAGCATGGAGCAGAGATGAGGCGTGGCCTCGGACAGGAAATCAAGCTCGTACTGCCGGTCCTCCAGGACGTCAGTGCCAAGGGCAGGAGCACCCCACACGGACGGAGGAATGGGCTAGGTTAAAGACCAGAGCAGTGGCGTAGTCAAGGCGGGGGGTAGAGACGAAGTCAGCGACGGCAGCGACAAGAGCATCAAGACTCGAGACAGGAACAGACGGGTCGGTAACAAGGGACGCGAGGACTCGAGGAACAAGAGGACTAGCGGCACGAAGTTAGTAAGACAGAGGAGGCATAACGACAACAAGCAACGATGAAGAAGGCGATGGGAGCAGGGGAGGACGAGACACGTGTGAACGGAGCAACATAGGGTGAGAGCGCTGAACAAGGGAGACTGGACGAGCTCGAGAGAGACGGTGAGACCAGAAGTGGGACGGAGGCGTCAGGTTAGGAGACATAGGAGGAGACATTGGAGGAGAATGAGGGGGGAGACAAGCCGGAGACGAGTCTGGCTTAGGAAACACAGGGCGATAGACAGGAAGGGGAGGTGGCGGAGGGGGAGGCGCATGTAGGCCGTCAGGGTAGGGAAGACGGAGGAGACGAAGGGTGGACACCGACAGCGAGTGCTGCTACAGCTGCTGCTGCTCCACGCCGAGATCAGAACCTCTAGCTGCACCACAGCTACCCCCAGGACACTGACGCAAACACCCCCAGAGTGAGAACCCTCTCCAGCATCGGTGCCACCCTCAGGAGCACCGGGACGAGCCACGACATTACCCCCAGGACTAGCACCCCTAGAAACAACACCCCCAGAACGAGGTCCCTCTCCAGCATCGGTGCCACCCCCAGGACCACCGGGACAAGCCACAACAGGAACCCCAAGACGAGAACCCTCCTCAACACCCGACCCCCCAGAGTGCGCGGACCCTTGCGGCGGCTGCTTCTGCGGCGGCGACGGCGGCGTTTGCTGCGACGGCACAGGACGAGACACCAGGGCGGAGACAGGTGGCAAGAACGGTGCCGCCGGGCCACTAGAGTCAGCTGACTCCTCGGCCGGGACAACCGACGGCAGGGGAGTAACGTGAGAGACACGAGACGGGGCAGGACGGGGAGGGAGAGGTGCAGGGGCTACCGGGGGAGTGTGAACCAGAAACAGGGGTGGGGAAACCGGGAGACGCTGGTGGGGAAAGCGGTGGTAGAAGGAGACAGACTCATCAAAAGTGACGTCACGCTAGTGAAAAAAACGGTGCGACGGCGGGTGGAATCATGCGCGTCGAGTGGGAAACCAAGGAAAACACAGGGGAGGGTGCGGGCAGTGAGCTTGTCCATGCCAGAGGCACGAACGTGAGCAAGGCAGCCCCACACGTGGGACGCAGACGCATCACCATGGAACACGGTCCAGAGAAGGGTCGGCGAAACTTGCGGCCACAGGTTGAGGTGGTGAGCGCCGTAGCGAACAGTGAACGGCCACAGGAAATGGGGTGCACCGGCATGGATCATGGAGGTATGAGCCACCTCCATGATCAAACTGATGCATGGCTGAGCGACCCCATTCTGCTGCGGGGAGTCCAGCAGGGTGTACGACTGGGTGATGCCCTCCGCACAACAGAACTGGCCAAACCGACAAGAGGCAAACTCGCCGCCATGGTCGGAGTGGAGGCGCAGCACAGGGAGACCGCAGTGGACTCGCGCAGCTACGACCCACGGGATAAGAACGTCAGGCACGTCGGCCTTTCAATCCAGGGGAAACACCGTGGTGTAGTGCGTGTAGTCATCGACAAGCACTATAGAGTAGCGCTCTCGACGCGGCCCAGGGACGGGGGCTGGGCCCCAGACGTCTAGGTGCAAGATCTGGAGTGGCGCAGTGGTAGGGGGGAGCGAGGAGGAGTGAGGAGCACGGCGCAGCGGACCCTCGAGACAAGGCGTGCACGGCGGCGCATGCGAGGGAGGTAGGGTTGGGGGTGATGCATGGAGACCGAAGACAAGACGGTGATGGGACATGTGACGCAAACGTGGGAGTGCGGGTTGACCTAGGCGGTGGTGCCACCGACACGAGCAACCTGGGAGGAAGCGGCGACCTGGGGGGACGCTCCCATGGGGGGGGGGGGTGGGGAAGTGGTGTCTAGGGTGAACAGGCCAGACACTGGGTCCCGGGGGAACGTGGTGAGAGGGGTACCAGTGGGGGCCTCGGTACAGACTGCAAACCTCTCGGGTCTAGGGAACGTAGTGTTGACGTCGAGGTCCTAAAGACAGCCGACACTAACGAGGATCCTAGAGACCGAGGGGATGTGCAAGCCTTTGAGAGAGCCCGAGCGAACCGCCGGACAGGGAAGGGTAGTGGAGCTACGAGCAACTACCGGACCTAAGGAGGGGCCAGCAAGCGCTACAACGGCAGGGTAGCAAGCGGCGTGAGCGCAGTGTGGTTACGAAAGAAGTAGGTGGATGCGCCAGAGTCGAGCGTAAAGGGGAGCGAAGCAGTAGCTTCAGCTGGCAAAGGGGCTAGTGTGAAGCCTAGGCTAAGCAAAGCAGGAGGTCCTACACCTGACGCAGCAGGGAAACCAACGCTAGACACAGAAGACAAGCCTACACTAGGGAACACCATGTAATAGGGTCCAGTCACACTAAAGTCATCAGCATACATGGCATACTGTACATCGCATACCTAATCTGATCCATGTCCATCTCAAAGACAGGCACCAGGCTATACCAGTCGGGGGGTCCGCCGTGGCGGCGAAGCGGAGACGAAACAGGTCGTCGAGGCGACGGTAGCAGCGCGCGGCGGTGTAACCGCGATGGTCGCAGACGGTGCCGCGGCGGGGGCCGGACTGAAGCTGGTACTGACAGGTGACCACACTGGAGCCACCACCCGACACCGAGTTGCGCCCCCCACGACCACGACGACCACCACCAGCGCCGCCAGTCCACAACGGCGGCGGGGGTCCCCACGGTGACTGCTACTGCTGCGGCGCTTGCTGCTGTGGTGGCTGCTGCTGCTGAGTCTGCTGCTGCTACTGCTGCTCCGGGGCACCAACCCCGGTCCCCTCGTCTGCACCGCCGTCCCTGCCCCCACCTCCGCCACCCTCACCACCCCCACCACCCTTCCCTCCTCTAGGCCCCCCCTTGGGGCGGCGAGCCCTATCCTGACGCGGCAGCGCTGAGGCTGCAGTGGCGGTCTTAGCAACAACAGCAGAAACGTCAGAGTAAGTGCATTGGGAGGGAGCACAGCCCTGAAAGATAGGACCGCCGCAGTGCCGCTAGACTGAGTGATAGTGCGATGGCTGGTCTCTATCGCGGACTCGGCGGTGCAAATGCGGTAAGGGTGAGGTCACCTGGTTGCTGACTAAGGAAGTGGTCGCGGGCAATGGCTAGGCGGTCAAGAAGGCATGTGGCAATGAGGTAAAGCGGCGGCGGGAAGGCAGTGAGCTGGGCCTTAGTGCTCACGGCGCGGTAGCTATTGTAGTCTCAAGCGTGCAGAGGTGGGTGGCAAGGTCAGCGATAGTGGGGAAGGACGCAAGATCACGGAACAACATGGGGAGGATCAGGCAGCCAGCAGAGGCTGAGGAGGGTGTGGAATAGCGTGCAATGACCGCATCTAGGAATTCCTTGGCATTTGCTATAGTGGTAAGGCGTGGACGCTCAGACAGGGGGAGGGCGTAACTAATAGCAAGTCGCGCGACAGCGTCACGCGACTCCCAGTCAGCGCAAGCAAGCACAGCAGCGGAAAAGGCCTCACGCTCAGCAGTGGTGGGGGCATCAGGGAGGGCAGCAGGCGGGGGGGGGGCAGGGGAGCGTACCATCGACATGAACAGCCAGGGAGTAACCGTCATGGCGCCGACCTGTCAGGTGACGGCGAAGGCCGATGAGCCACGCCTCACAGTTGATCGCCTGGCCCTCCGCGTCCAGGCGGAGCACAGCGTCCGCCATCCCATGTCCTCAGCTGCTGACGGCGGCACGGCGGCACGACGACACGGCGGCACAACGACTGGGCGACACGGCGGCACGGCGGCACGGCAACACTCCGGCACTGCGGCACGGCGTCACGGCAGCACTGCGGCACGGGAACACCGCTGTGGTGCGGCACGGCGACACGGCGGCACCGCGGTGCGACGGCTCAGCATGGCGGCAGGTGGGACCAGGGTCGGCGCGAGCGAGATCGGCAAGCGAGGGGCCGGCTAAGAAGGGGCCGGCTAGTAAGGGGGCCGGCGAGCTGGGGGCCGGCGAACTGGGGGCCGGCTAGTAAGGGGGCCGGTGAGCTGAGGGCCGGGTAGCTAGGGGGCAAGCAAGCGAGGGGCCGGCAAGCGAGGCGTCTGCGAGCTCGGGGCTGGCTAATGAGGGGCCAGAGAGCTAGGGGCCAGCTAGCTCGGGGGCCAGTCAGCGCGGGGCCAGCGAGCACGGGGCCAGCGAGCACGGAGCTGGTGAGCGCAGGGGGGGGAAGCGCGGGGCCAGCGGGCGTGGGCCAGCGAGCGCGGGGTCGGTGAGCGTGGGCCCGCTAGCACGTGCCAGCAAGCGCGGGGCGACGAGGGTGGGCCAGCGAGCGTGGGGCGACGAGGCCTGGCCAGCAAGCGGGGGGCGACGAGGGCGGGAAGGCGAGCGCGAGGCGACGAGGGTGGGCCTAGTTGCGCAGGGCGACGAGCGCTGGCCAGCGAGCGCGGGGCGACGAGCAGGGTCTACGAGCGGGGGGCGACGAGCGCGGGCCTACGAGCTCGAGCTAAGGCTAGAGCAAGAGCTAAGACTAGGACTAGGGCTAGGGCGGAAGCGCGGGTGGGTGGGGTGGACCTAGCCTAGCGTGATTCCATCTCAAGGTAACGAATTAAGTAGAATGAGGGGATACAAGGGGATATAAGCTAATGTGTTGTACTCTCTATGAGCATGCACCTATCTAGCCTACAACATATACAATTATATGTTGACAACATAAACTAACAGCAGCAAGTTGGCAATTACGGTATTCTTCTGCACACGCACAAGGCCGACAATGTGTTTGCCTAAAGTAACTTGATGTTACAGTATGCTTTTACATGAAAGGAGTTGGCACATCCAACGAGTTTCCGAGGCTGAGCCGTTTGGAGCTCGGGCTGATGGCCACTCCATGCCGATCCGCACATGCTAGCAGCGCCCCTAATGCCCCCGCATGCCCATTGTGCCTCAGAAACATTGCCTGGAGAGGAGAGATGAGGGGTATGCACACAATGACATACTCTCCAGAAGCATGGGCTTTGCCATTATGAAACCGCAACTGGTAACCACGGCTAGCATGCTCACTTTCTACTTCCTGCCAATGGCTTCTCATCTCACCTTCATGCATCCCTTGGACCAAAACTGCATGGCCACAGCTAACGACCGCATAGCAAGCTGCAAGAAACGAAGGAAGTGATGGAAAGAATTGAGAAGGAAAGGAGGGAGGATGGTATTTTAGGCTCCTACAATTCATCCCACTAACAACCTTTCCGCAATTCTCTCAACTCCGCCGCACAAACATGTTCCACACAACGTTTAGCATCCTTCCCCACATGATACACCGTGCTTAGCGCCCTCTGCAGCCAGCCATGCACCCTCCGCACCATCCCGCATGCCCACCTTGTTGCTGTGCATGAAGCTGCCTGTGAAGAGCACGTGGCGCACCCCTGCGGGCCGCGCGTGCAGCATGGCGATGGACCCGATGTTGTTCGTCACCATTAGTAGCACCGCCTTCGCTAGATTCTCCGGGCGGCGGCTGGGCGACGCCTTGTCAGCTGGACGCACCAGCTGGGGTGGGGATCGGAGATACAGGGGGTTCGGGTGTTGTTAACAGGGCTGCTAATCAGCACATGCAGCGGTGCACGAGAAGGAAGATGACAGCATCCCAAACGACTTCTAGAGCAAATAGATGTCAAGAAGGCCAGGAAAGATACAAACTCACTGCATCTGCTGAAGACTATGGCACTGCAAGTCCCCAAATGGTGTATGTGGGAATAAGACGAGAGCACAACACCACGGTGCATACCTTGCCAAGAGAGCTGGCTACTGTGGTGGCTGCAAGGCCCATCTCAATATAGTCACCTCCTGCAACAGTCAACATGGCCAAGCGAGCATACAGAAAGTGGCATTCAGCGCTTCATGTCGCACCCACCGAGTCTCCATGCTTGGCAAAACAAAAGAAAAGGAGACTGGTGGCTGGAGTTGAAGCATCAAGAACAAGAAACACATGCTATGGATTTGCACGAAGAGAGGAAGGAAAGTGGTGCTGTGTGGCATGTGCTGTGTGCTGTGTGGCATGTCCTGTGTGGCATGTGCTGTGTGGCTGCCCACCATAGATGTCCCCCACGAGCATGTCCACACACGTGCTGTCACCCCTCGATGCCAGCCGCATGGCCTCCTTGAAACTGAGGCGGGCGAGGGGAGAGGAGTGAGGAGAGACGACAGAGGGGAGAGAGAGAGACACAGAAGTGAGGGGAGCGAGGACACAAGCAAGGATGAGCAGGTCATGGGAATGTATGGCAGGGGCCATGGCAGTGGGTGGAGAGAAGGAGAGCAGGAGTGATGCTATGAAGGATGAGAGAGCAGCACAGGGTCTGTACTTCCCCGCATAAGCACACCAACCTCGAGAACAAAGTATGGCATGGCATGGCAGGGCGCGGCATGGCACGGCAGTGCATGGCATGGCATGGGACGCACCTGGTGCAGCCTGTGAGTGCAACCGCGAGGCCCAGGAAGGTGCTGCACACGGGAGGGGGGGTTGAGGCAGGCAGAGGATGGGAGGGGGAATGTGCGTAAGAAGAGAGGCGAAGGATCGCAGCACAGGGAAACGAGCAGAGAGGGGCTGACAGTAGGGTCAAGAGGGGTAACCAAACTTGGCTGACTATAGCTGAGAACAAAGAATATAGCAGCAAGCACATGCAGAGGGCTGAGAGGAACCGGCAGAAAGCATGGAAGGAGCGGGCATGGAAGGAGAGCGTGGGAAGGGCATGGAAGGGCATGGAAGGGCATGGGAGGGCAGGGAGGGCATGGGAGGGCAGGGAAGGCATGGTAGGGCAGACCTGCCCCCGAGAGAGGAGCCCCCCACTCGCTCAAACTGGCCGGGCGCATCCACTCGCAGGATGGACACTCCCGACCCGATGTTCACCTGCCACCCACGCGCACAGGGGGACGGTGACGTTGGAGGGAGATGGGGATGGGGGAGGGACGATATAAGGAGGCGGGAAGAGAGATGAGGAGGGTAGAGAGGCGGAGGAGGGAAGAGAGGTGGAGGAGGGTAGACACATGAACCATGCGTCTCTAGTGGGAGATGCGAGCGAGTGTGGGAGGGAGGGAGGGAAGGCGTGAAACCGGAAAAGCAGGCGGACCACACCAGCAACGCCTCATCATTCTGTCGTAACTTCCCACCCATCCCAGCGCACCACGAGATAGGGGTACGTGAGCTGCTCAGGAGGACTCTCCTCCGCTCTGCTCCCCACGTCCACTCCTCCCCTCCCACCCTCCTGCTCCTTGCCTTCTTGACCATCCTCCGCCTCCTCGTCCTCCCATTCATCCTCCTCCCCTTCATCCCCTTCGTCACCGTCGTCGTCGTCCTCCTCCGCCTCTTCCTCCCTCCTCACTGCCTGCGCCTCCCTCTCTGCACCCGCATCGCCATCATCACTCGCCGCATCCTCTTCCTCCTCCCCGTCCTCCACATCCGCCTCTACCCCATCCGCCACACAATCTCCCCCCTTCACACATGCGCCTTCCCCCACCGCCTCCTCACTCTCCTTCTCACTCTCATTCCCCAAGCCACCCCCGCCCTCCCCGCTCGTGTGTGTGCGCCCCTCGCTCTCGTTTCCCCCTCTGAACGCCTCTGCCACCTCGTCCCAGTCCGACGCCGACTCAACCCTCACATGCCCCTGCTGCTGCTCGCCCCCGCCCTGCTCTGCACCGTGCGCATGTTGCCCATGATGACCGTGACTGTGGTGCCCGTGACCCTCACAATGCACATGCCCATGCCCATGACTATTCTCATGCCCAATCATACGCGCATGCTCGTGCAGCTTCTGCTGCTGCGTCTTGAGGCTCTCATCCTCGTTACTGCAAGCTGCACTACCTTCTACGCGCTCCTCCTCAGCACTCGCTTGCAACTGAACCTGCCGCCCCTCCCCTTGCTTCCCAACACCATCACCACCCATCCCTCCCACCCTCTCCTCCCCCCCTTCCCTCACCGCTCCACCGCCAGCATCACCTCCTGTCCTCTTGCTCCGCCGCTCCCTCTCGCCCGCCTCCCCCCTCTCGCCCCCCTCGTCCTCCCCGTCGCTGCTGCCACTGCAGCTGCTGCTGCAGCAGCTGGTGGAGAGGGACTCCGACCCAGAGTCGCCGCCCGGCCGCTGGATGGCGCCACGTGGCAGCGCGTCCACGTGGGCGTAGCCGTAGCAGTCGCCCGGGGCCACGCGCACCAGGAAGTCGATTCCGCGCACCAGACTGGAGGGATCGAGGGAGGGGGGGGGTGTGGGGGAAAGGGGAGGGGATGGGGGAGGAGAAGGGGAAGCGGGACGAAGTGATGGGAAGGCGTGCATCACACAGCAGGCAATGCTGGAGAAGAAGGAACGGAATGAGGCGGGAAGAATGGAGGCGTGGGGAAAGGAGAAGGCAGCGGGGGGAGAATGTGAGGCGTGGGGATGGGGGAAGGGAAAGCAAGAGATGGGGACCGAGGAGAGTGTCTAACATGGCACGGCATGGCACGGCATGGCGCGGCATGGCGCGACATGGCACAGCACCCACCATTGTAGCTCGTCCGCTCGCTCGAGCTGCACCCCCGCGATCCCCTCGAACTGCCCCCGGAACTTGCGCGCACCGCCGCTGAGCGGGGGGGGAGGAGGAGAGCGGGATTGAGGCAAGGGAGGGATGAAAGAGCGGAGGGCGAAATGGTCAAGTGGATGCATTTGCTGCAAGTCAACCTGCAGCAAGAGAGAAAGCGAAACGTGGTACGCGACTTGGGGGGCAGTAGCGATACTAGGCGCATCGTACCATAATGGAGGTACAGAGCATCAACTCCTCGCCCGCTCCTACAATTCCACCACCCTCAACCTTCAGACTACCCGGCCCGTCCCCTACCACTCTCGTCCCCCTCTCCCCCCCCGCATGCGCGTATCTCCTCCCACCCTCTTCTCTCCTCCCCTCCCCGTGCCACTGTCAGCGCACATACAGTGAATGCGACGCATGACGCTGGTAAGAATACGACCCTCAACAATAGGCCTATCCCCGGGTGAGTTACCTGTACGGAACGAGGGACGCCTAGGCTTTCAAGGTGGTACACACCACCCCTAATCTCGTCTGCCTTGCCTCATTCTGCCTCCCCTCCCCCTATCCCCCCCCTCCCCCCCTTTTTCCCCCCTTGCCTCACCCCGTGGCGCCAATGGGGTGCGGCGCGGAGAGCAGTCCCTGGCTGCGGCGCTGCACGAGCGAGAGGAAGTCGTCCATGTGCCACGTCTCTGCGCGCGGGGCGGGACAGGGGGGCGCGCGGAACGAGAGGGGGAGGGGGGATGGGGAGGGCAGAAAGGAGGAGAGAGTGCGAGGTGTGTGGGGAGGACGGGCGCGCCAGGGCTGTGTTTAGGCAGTACAGAATGTAGCGAGACTGGCTTGCCTAGAGCAGTCGCCTAGGCATGCCGCGCGTTTCTCAACGACGCGCTCGCGAGATCGCATTCACAAAACAGTTTAGGGATTGTCGGCTGTGACCTTCCGCAATACCCGGAAACCTCCACCTCACCGATCTCTCAATGAGGCTCGACGTCTCCTCCCCTCGCCTTCCCTCCTCCCTCCCCCTCTCCTCCCCTCCTCCCCTCCTCCCCTCCCTCACTCATCCCCTCCTTTCCCCCTCCCCTCGCGCCCGCGCTCACCGAATTGTTTGAAGTAGAGCCGTCCGCCCCCGGGCCCAAGCCCGATCGGCTCGTGGCTCTCCCGCCACAGGCTGCTGCGCCCCCCCGCGCTGCGCTTTCCGCTCCGCGCCGCGCCACACCTGCCGACGCACCTCCCCGCAATGGAACTTCCGCCAGGTGCCCCGCCGCATCTGCACCCCCGCGCCCCGCCCTCACCGCCTCTCCGCTTCAGAAGGTCTGGCGATCGGCCGTTACCGTTAACGGCGACGGTAACTGCAGGCGACAAGCCGTCAAGTGAATGCCGGATGAATTCCGCGTCGGGATTCGAGCCGTGCGGCTCGTAGCATACCAGCTTGCAGAGCGTGCCGCCGATATCGAGGCCGAAGCGCGCCCCATTGGAGAGAACGAGCCAATCGGCGACGGCCTCGAGGGAGAGTGGGCGGTCAGCGTTGGACGGCGTGACGTGGCGGTGGCGAGACGCCGAGGCGCCGTCAAGGATGGGCGAGAAGGACGACGGCATTTGGAGGATTCCAAAAGATGTATAGCACGTGCTGACGAGCTTGGCGAGGACAGAACAAAGCAGGCGAATTGTAGGGTTACTGGTTCTAGGACTACACGAAGACTGAGAATAGCCGGGAATTCGTAGCGAGTGGAGCTGTGCCCAGTTTCAGCAGGCAAATGAGCATAGATAGAGCGGATGTGGGGGGAGGATTCCCAGTTGACCGCTCAGCATGTGGTGTGTGGTACTGTAGTACCTGGCCTTGCTGGGCTGGGCTGGTCTTGGAAGGGAATCCATCAATGGGAGGAGAGGGGGGAGTCAGGGGGAGGCAGTGGTGTTGCGGCGGGAGGCATCTGCCACTGCCACAGGCAGTCCCCGTCGCACACTGCTCCGCAGAAAGCGTTGTGCGCATGCTTCCTAGAATTTCTTGTCATGCGATGCGATCCTTTTGTGATCGGACGGTAGGCGTTCGCGATGGCGATTGAGGCTGACGTCGCACGGGGGAACCAGCGACCCCATCACGATGCTTCGTCGAGCACCAAGCATCCTGCCTTTTGGGGGCCTGTTTGCAAACTGCCATGGTACATTTCTGGTGAAACCCGGACAGCTTTACGTTCCCATCAAGAGAAGGCGAAGAAAGCGAAGGAACACCCCCCCCCTGACAATACCTACGTCTCCAAGTACTGACAAATGTCATCAACGGAGAATATGGTTCAACGTTATCAAGAGTAACAGGCCCCCCCACCTTAAAACGAATCACAGACTCCATCGCTTGTGAACGCTACCTGAGGAATCGTGACCGTCAAAGACGAGAAGGGACGGGATCGGCTCTGGTTTGGCGGGCTTACGGATAAGCCAATGGAAATCTTCAAAAGGAGGCGGGAATTGCGGCAGCCGACTCGGCTCGTTCTGGGATGCTACGCTGACCTGTGCCATGATCAGCGTGCGACGGTGACAGGTCACGGGTGGCCCCCAAGTGTGGCATTCACAGTGCAGGTCTGCGCCGAAGCAAGCACCTGACTGTAGGTACACCTTGAGCCTGACAGAGGAACACAACTTTTCAGGGTGCCGGTAGACAAAAACGCGCACGGGTTTCGCACGGCATCGTCACGGGCATGTGGGCCTTTCGCACGGGCACGAAGGTTACCATTTTGATGTTTTGCGGGGTAGGTTTGAGTGGCATATTTTGGCGAGCCATTGTTCACTTAGTTACCCTATGTTAAGTTTCGGCGCTTTCAAGCGAGAGTGAGTTTCTCTGGTGTAGCACCAGAGTGGTGGTTGGCGGGTGAGATGTTGAGTGATTTTTTCTGGTTTGGTTTGCTCCCTTTTATACTCAGAGTGATGGGGTGAGGTGTTGGAGTCGCATTTCAGCTCCAAATATTACGGGCGTGTTCTAAATATTTCTTACATTACGAACTGAAGGTTCGTGTCGCAACAATAACTACTGCGTGGATTGTGGAAATTTGTTTTCGAGTCTGTTCCTGGGTTGGCTTTCGGATGTTGAGAACGACCCCTGGCATCGGGACATCGTGACTCCATTTCGCTGCCAAGTAAGCGTCCGGTTTCGTGCGGCGACGCTCAAGCCACAAACAAACCCAGCGAGGCGTGTGTAATTTTGCGAGCTCAACGAAAGGCTCGCTGACCTTTGCCGGAGCGCTATTCCGAGCGCTGCTGGAAGTTTGTGGCGAACACGGTTGCGGCGCACATCTTTCGTCTTGTGCCGCATGTTTGTCACCGCTGTCATGATGACGCTGCACTGCTGGCTCTGTTCACGGCCCACGTTGAGTGGGCCGTTGCCCGTGTGACAACGCTAATGGGCGATGGTTCCTGATTGGGCCACGTATTGAGCTGGGCCTCCGGCGGGCACCATGTGTAGGTTTGGCATGCAAAGGTGAGGTGGGGGCCAAGTTGCGGGGTACGCCAGGGAAAGAAAGTGGGCCACAAGCGAATGCGGCTTTTCCCTTCCCAGCTGTCGAATGACGTGGCCGCAACGAGGCAGGGAGCTGGTTGGTTGTCCTGCCGCGCCTAACCTGTTGCAGAAAACACTGTTGTGGTGAGGTACGGTTTCGGTGGAGGCCACACGTCTGTACTCGAGAAAAGCTCATCTTCTGCAAGAGCAACATGTCGGAACATACAGCCTCATGGAAAGGGAAACATGAACTTACACAACACAAGCTGTCAATTGATACCTATTTCACAACCCATCCATAGAAAATCAGAACGTCATTGCTCTCTGGTCAACAACTCTGCCCTGAAGCACATAAATTTATGGCTATTGTGCAGGAGCAGCACTGGCAGCAATAGCAGCAACCTCAACCACAGCACCATCTACAACCTCCACCTTGGCATGCACCAAGCCAAGCTTCTTCTTGAGGTACAGAATCAGATTCGCCCGAGACACCTCCTCCTCCTCCCTCCTCTCCAGGTCCTTCACCTTAACAGTGCCCTTGTCCAGCTCAGCAGACCCAAAGATGACCATCCAGGGAATGCCCGCCTTGTTGGCAAACTCCAGCTGGCGCTGCATGTTGGGCGACGCGGCCATCACAAACTCCGCCTTGACGCCGTCCGCCCACAACGCCGAGGCTATCTCCATGCGCGTGCGCAGCAGGTCCGGGCCGATGCTCGCCACCAGCACCTGTGTCTCCGTGGCTCGGATGAGCTAGGGGAGGGAGGGGGGGAGGAGGGTGGGCAAGAAAAGGAGGGGAGGGGGAGTATGGGGTTGTGTTCAGGGTGGAGCCATGGAGGTAGGGGGTGTCGGGTGGGTGGCATCAGGCCATGTGGAAGCAAGACATGCTGACTCCACAGGGTGCCACACAGGTGGTGGGAGGAGGAGGATACTATGGAAGGAGACAGGGAACGGTGCGGTGCGGTACGGGACAGCATCCCCCCCCCTCACCTGGTTCTTCTTGCGCTCCTGCTCCTCCATGATGGTGAACACGCGCTCGATGCCCAGGCTCACGCCCACCGCCGGCACCTGCTTGCCGCTGAACATGCCCACCAGGTTGTCGTACCGCCCGCCCGCTGCTATCGACCCCACCTGCACCAACAGGAAAATGGGGAGAGAGGATGCTTTTAAGTGGGGTAATACAAACTCAGATCAGAAAGCACGACAAACCACAGCAAACACCCGGCCTATTTGCAGTTGGAAAGCGGGAAACCAAGCGGCATTATCCTCAACAGCCTCTCGCCCAGCGGAGCCAAATCTCTTGTTCCTTCCACCCAACCCCCCTTCCTAATGCAGAGCCCACCCCTTCCCCATCGAGCATCCTTATAACAAAAAGCACTCACGGTGCTGCCGCCCTTGAAGACGGCCTCATAGATGACGCCGGTGTAGTAGTCCAGTCCCCGCGCCAGCGACAGGTCAAACACCACGCGCCGCACTGCGCCGCCCATCGCCGCCAGGTAGTCAAACAGCAGCCCCAGCTCAGCGAGCGCCGCCTGCGAGTCAGCGTGGCCGGCGAATGGGGAGTCGGGCGCCTGCAGCGCGGCGAGCAGGTGGTGTGGCTCGCCCTTGCGCACCACAAACTCGCCAATGCGGTCCGCCACCTCGGGCAGCAGTCCCTTCTCCTCTATCTGGGAGAGGGGAAATGTGAAGGGGCGAAGTGGGGGAAGGGAAGAGGGGGATAAGGCAGAATTCTTTTCAACCACCAACCTGCCTGCAGAGCCAATCGATGCAGGAAAAATGCGGCTGTTCCCATCACGCATGATTTCTAGATAAGATTGAGTCTAGGGTGGAAAGGAGGCGTGATGGATGGAGGATGAAGGCTGATGTGGTATAGGCGACGGAGGTGACACATATGGTGGAAGAAGGGCGGAGTAGGGGGAGAGGGGGATGGTTGTGAGCAGCCAAGTTTAAGGGGAGCGGAAAGGTAGGGATGGATGAAAGGCCAACCCAGGATTGACAATACACAGATGGGAGATACCGAACCAGACCAGCTCCCAGTGACCTCAGGTGCCATGATTAGCAGATGGCATGGGTTGCGTCTTCATGGGGCGGCATGGCATGCCATGGCCGCCCGGTCAAAGCGCAAGGATAACCAGACTCATCCTCGGCCACTGGGAGCATCGCACAGTGGAGCAAGAATGCCAAACTCGACTGGACAAGTGACTTTGGTGTCTTGCCATGTACCTCTCCCCTCCTCCCTCCTCCCTTCCTCACCCCTCCCCTTCCCACACGCCCCTCCCCCAACTACCATCACAGAGCGCACGGCCTCCCAGGGCTCCTTGTCGAGCTTGTCCACAGCAGAGCATTGCCAGGGAATTTGAATGCTCAAGCAACCCTCCCCTCCCCCTCTCTCCCTCCCTCCACCTCTCCCCTGCCTCCTCCTCCTCCCTTCTCCCCGCGTACCATCTCCGTGCGCACGGCCTCCCAGGGCTCCTTGTCAAGCTTGTCCACAGCGGAGCAGATCCCGCGGAACTTGGAGGCCGGCACGCCGCAAATCGCCAGCATGCCGTCCAGCAGCCCGCGGTGATTCAGCTTGATCTGGGGGGAGGAAAGAGGGGAGGAGGGGTTAAAAAGGAGGGGAGAGAGCAGCAGACGGAGGGTGGGGCGGATGGATGGGCCAGGCCAGGGTGCTGAGTGGTTCAGCTCGATTCGATGGGGTAGGGATGGGCAGCACAGGGCGTGGAGAGAGGGCGGATTGAGAACATTGAGAGGGTAAGCAGTGGGACAATAATAAGGGGTTTTGGGAGAGACTCTTGAAAGCACCATGCAGCACCGTGCAGCACCTGGCCCTAAACCCTGAACCAGAAACCCCAACCCCCTGTGAAATGAAAACCCTGGCGCTGTGAGCGGGTGCAGCAGCAGCCGTCGTAGACTTCCATGGCCAGCTCACCTATCAGCATGCCCTAACCCTGAACCTCGAGCCCCCAACCCTCCCACACATGTTGTCCGTGTGCAAGAGCGCACCTCGTAGTCGCCGATGGCGAGCTCGTCCAGCAGCTCCGTGAGCACCTTGATGACCTCGGCGTCCGGCACCATGGGCGCGTACTGCCCTGCGATGTCAAAGTCGCACTGGTAGAACTCGCGGTACCTGCACCGTGGGGGGAGGGGGAGTGGAGGGAGGAGGAGAGGGTGGAGGGGAAGGAGAGGGTTGGGATGAGAGAGAAGAAACAGTGCAGAAGACAACACAACGGAAAAGAAGGAAAAAAAGGAAGAAAAAAAAATGAAAAAAAAGGGAAAAAAGGAAAAGAAGGAAAAAAAAAGAGGAAAAAAAGGAAAGAAGGAAAAGGGAAAAAAGGGAAGAAGAAGAAGAAGAAGAAAAAAAAAAAAAAAAAAAAAAAAGAGGAAGAAAGGAAAAAGGGGGGGGGGGGGGAAGGGGGGGGGGAAAAAGGGGGTGCATGGGGAGAAAGGGGGACAGGCAGGGGAGAGAGGAGGCCTTGTGGCAGTCAAGAGCAGGGTAAAGAGGGGCACGGAAAGGAGTATGGAAGGGGAAGCGAGAAGGGGAGAAGAGGGAGGAGAAACAGAGACAGCAATTTTCACGAGAGATGATGCTCTAGCAAGGGCAATCCGTTGCGAGGGCTGCAACACGCACACATGGCCGTTGCAGACAGAACACAACCGCTACGCTGCAGGCAGGCACGACCAGCTCCCAGTGGCCTCAGGTGCCATGATTAGCAGATGGCATGGGTTGCGTCTTCATGGGGCGGCATGGCATGCCATGGCCGCCCGGTCAAAGCGCAAGGATAACCAGACTCATCCTCGGCCACTGGGAGCATTGCCTTGGGGGCTTGAGCCGCTGAGGCCATCAGCAACAAGGACATGACACGAAATCTCAAATATCAGCGCACTGGCAGTATCAGGGCAGAGCGGCGCAGGAATGATAAGCCACTATTCCATCCATCCGAGCCCCCCTTTCCCTGAACAGCACCTCATCAAGCCCCCCTCCCTCCCCCCCCGCGCCTCCTTTTCGAAGTGCCTCCCCTCCCCTCTGCGCGCACCTGCCGCGGTTCATCTGGGGGTTGTCGCGGCGGTACACGCGCGCCACGTGGTAGCGCTTGATGTTGCCCACGCTGTGCATCGCCAGGTACCGCGCGAACGGCACCGTGAGGTCGTACCGCAGAGAGAGGATCTCGCCGCCCTGACGGGTGGGGGAGGGGGGAGGGAAGGGGCGGGCGCGGCGAGGGGGAGCGGGGAAGAGGGGGGAGGAGTGTGGAGCATGAGAAGCGACGATGGGGGGGATCGAGTCAATAGCGAGACGAGTCATGCAGTGCTCACTTACCACCATTGCATATAAACGCATCTCAGGGCACGTCAAGGCACATCTACCCTTTACCCCTTCCCCCCCTCCTCCCCCCTCTCTTTTCACCTGGTCCGCGAGGTCGTAGATGAGTTTGGAGTCCTCGCCGTACTTGCCGGTGAGCGTCTCCCTCAGCTCGAACACGGGCGTGTCCAGCGCCACCGCGCCGTGCCGCTTGAACACCGCCGCGATGATCGCGAACGCGCGCTCGCGGATCGCCATCTGGTCCGGCAGGAAGTCGCGCGTGCCCTGGGGGATGGGGGATGGGGGGGGGGGGGGGGGGGGGGGCGCGGGAAGGGGAAGAGAAGAGTGGGGGAAGCGGAGTGTAGGGGTTTGGAAAGGGAGAGCAGATGAGAGGGGAGGGATCAGTGGAGGCGTGGGAAGCGGACGAGAGAGGAGGGCAGGAGAAGTTGGGAGCAAGTACGGCCGCAGCCGAGGGAGAACGAAAGACATAGTGACTCTGCCCCCTCCTTACCTTGGCTATCTTAGGAGCACGTCTCGTCTCGTTGCTCTCAATGGCGGCTCGCAGCGCGCCCTCCAGCTGCGCCACCTCGTCACCGCGCGGGTCCAGCGCCACCGCCACGCGCTCCACCGCGCCCACCACCGCCACCGCCCCCGCGCCTGCCCCCGCGCTACTGCCGTCCCCCGCGGCCTTGTCTTGCGCCGCGCCCACGATGCCGTCCAGGAAAGCGGCCAACACGGCTGTTCCGCGCCCCAGCGCAAGTTCCCCGCCTCCGCCGCCCTTGCCCTTCTTGTCCTTTCCGCCCTCCTTCTCCTTCCCCCCCTTCCGCCCGTCTGCTGCGCCGTCCGCCGCCTTCGCGTCTTCCTTCTTGGACCCCTTCCCTCCCCCCGTGCGCGCTGCCAGCGCCGCCTCTCGCGCGCGCAGCAGCCGCAGCGCCGCCACCGCTTCCAGCGCCAGCACCATCCGCAGCGCCTCCACCGTCGCCAGCGCTGCGCGCGCCGCCATCAGCGCGGGCACGCCGTCATCCCGCGCCCCGCGCTCTCTTCCACGTCCAGCCGCCGCTCCGCCCGCCGCGCCCGCTGCCCCTTCTTCCTCCGCGCCGAGCGGGTCAGCCGCCGCGACTGCCTGCGCCACGTCACCCGCCGTTACCTTAGCGGCATCGACCGTCTCCTGCGCCGTCACTAACGCGTACGCCACCTCACCCACCGCACCTCCCGCATGCTCCGTCGCAGCAGCGGCTGCTCCGCCGTCAGAGGCGCGCTCTGCAGCGTCGGCGGGTGCCGCATCCGGCGCTGCTGCGGCTGCTGGCGGCTGCAGCGACGATAGCGCCGCGACCATTGCGGCGATACGGCGGACACTGCAGGCGCCGAGCGGACAGAGCGCGCGGAGAAGCGACGCGACGTGACCCGCCACCAGAACAGACGGCACATGCAGGCGCGCACCAGCCGCTGCGCCGCCCTTGCCCTTTCCCCCGCCCTCAGCGCCGCCAGCTGCGCCGCCCTCGCCACCACAGTTGAGCTCCACGCGCACCGCGCTGGCGGCGGTCTTGACGGCCTCCCTAAGCGGCCCGTGGCATTGCGGAATGCCGCGCACGGCCAGCAGATTCGCGGCGTCCTTGCGCGGGTTGACGCACTTGGACCCCGCCAACAGCGCGCGCATGTCGCCCGCCACATCCGCCTGCGCCTTGTGCGCGCCCTCCGCCGTCTCCCCGTCGAGCATCTCCGCCACGTTCGCGCGGAGCGCCTCGCAGGAGAAAGCCGCGACGGCGTCCGCTACAGCCACCAGCGACGAGGCGGCGTGCACCGCTACAGCCGCCACGCCCACCGACGCCGCCGTGCTCGTCTGGAAAGCGGGCGCCTCGTGCTCGAACAGGCCCGGGGATTCGAGCCCCGTGGACGCCTCCGCGGCTTTACCGCTAGCCGCGGGAACGACGGCTGCTTTCAGCGCGTCGGCAAGCGACGACACGGAAGCCATGCCGTGCTCGTTCCACGTGGCGGCAGATCCTTGGCCGAGCAGGACGTCTTGCACGGCCTGTACGACCGGGGCGTCCGTTTTCGACGCGGGAAGCGCAAGATCGACTCCCGCGTTGAGCAGATCTGCGAGGAACTGCGGCACGGCCGGCCGCAGTGATGCTGCGATCCCAGCCGTTCCCAGCAGCTGCAGCGCCTGCACGGCGAGCGCCGCGCGCATCTGCTCGCGACGCAGTATCTCTGGGTGCGATGCGGCGGAGTCGGCGGACGGCGCAGCGGGTGCTGAGGGTGTGGCTTGTTTGGCGGCTTTAGGGAGGGGGGTCGACACCCGTTGGAGCTTGTCTGTGGCGGCGGCATCGAGCTCGACGTGCGAGTCGCGCGCCGCAATGTCGAACACATCCTTGGCCACCAGTGTGGCGCCTCTGCCGCCGAGAATCACGCGACGGTGGGAAGCCATGATGGCCTATAGTTTTACAAAATGCAGAACTCGCTAGGGTCCCAGCACGGTGGCTAGGTTCTCGTAAATTAGTTCCTCGGTAGGATTTCGTGGAGGTTGAGGGTTTCGCTAGGGCCGAGTGCCAGCCAAAGAGATCGAGTTCGTTTACTGAGGCCCTCGCTACAAATTCAGACGCGTTGACGACTATGCCGGAAGTGTAGATTTCCAATTTTCAAACACCCAAGTACACTCGCCTGTGTCTTCCCAACGGTTGGATTTGCCACTTTCACTTCGCCCGTCGAGATTTGCTTGCCCGACTGCCATCTGTCAGCACACTGTTGCCCTCGAGGTCGGCTGGGCAGGACAGTGGCGAAAAAAGGGGAGCAGGCGCAGGGCAGGATCGAGCGGAATTCCCGAGGTACAGGACAGTACCCCCTTCCCCTTCACCTGCCTCGTCGATTCCCTACATACAGGCGCTGATCGGTAAGCCGTCATTCCAGAATGCGGAATGCGGAATGCGAAATCCGCTGCAACCTTTCCTCATTCCGTGCGTTGACTCGTCAGGTTAGGTAGTGCGAGAAGTTGGGCTGGTCTATGTGCGAAATTGCCGGATGTAGCTGACGCGTCTGAGCTGGCGAATTACCAAACTTGCCCGCCACGATCTTGGTCACGAAAAACAAAAGGGAAGGGGGAAACAGGGCTTCAAATTGTGCTGTCAAATCTTGCACGCCGAACAAATCACCAATCAAATTTGTTTTCTTGGCGGTCAGACACAAGCTGGTACAGTAGTTGGTATTCGACGTTTTCCGTTTCCGAAATAAGGGCATTAGTTATTGCGTTTGGGTTGCCCCACAATTCACTATTCCCAGCTGTTCTTGCAAAAAAACTGGAATTAACATCAACCCGCGGTTGGCACGATTTCGCCCGAGTCAGCAGCTAGGTGCCCTTTCCTCATTCCGAATTCCAGCCTTGCCTAATCTGGTGTTCGGTACACACCTCTACTCCAGGAGGTTTGGTGTGATTAAAAAGATTGTTTGGTTTTAAGCTAAATCCGAGCCAAGCCTAAGAAATTTCTCGACACTATCCGGGTTCCAGAATACGGCCAACCGATCAGAGGCGCAGTGCCTTCTCCACCCCAACACACACAGCAAGCTTGAGTTGAGTGCAATTTTGCAGCGCTGTAGTGTTGCGATGCATATTCTTGCGACGAATTGGAAACGACCGACACATCAGCCCTGACGTGACAGGCGGTCACTCTGTAGGCGGTCAGGCACTCATGCCTTCGGCCAAGCAACTTTCCAAAGCTTCAGCATCATGCCTTCGGCTAGTTATTCTCCGCGTCCTCTCACTTTTATTGGTCGAGTGCTCCTTGCCATTACCTGCTCGCATCTTACTTGTGCGCCTCGTCGCTAGGCAGACGGCACGGCGTGAAACAAACTTATCGGAACGGTCGCACTCCCTGTGCACGCACATACAGTGGAACACAGACACCTGTGCACGTTATTAGCAGCTCGCGCTCTCTCTCTCCCCCGCTCCGCCACTGTCGGGCATCCATGCGCGCGTCTCTACAGTTCCGCCAGGGCGACGGCGCGCACCACGCGCCAAGCGGTCCGCTCTTCCGCCTCAAACTGCCCGTGTCGCTGCTAGGCCTTCCGCTCCCGCTCTTCTCCGGCTGCTCCGTCGGCTCTGCGCCCTCCGACGTCTCTCTCTCCCTCGGTACCGCCTTCACCGCCGGACCCTCCCTCCGCCTCACCTACCGCCCCATCCGCGCACCCGCGCTCTCCGCGCCTCCTCACGATGACTCCGCAGACGCCGCCGGGGTTCCCAGCGGGAATTCCGCGTCTCTCCATCTCGTGCTGAAGGCGGGGCTCGGTCGTCTCGGGTCGTCCCGCGATGCCTTTTTGTCGGTAGCGGCGGAGCTCGAGTTTTGCCCTTCCGCAATATCTGCGGGCGGAGCTCCATCCAATGGTGTTGGGAAAAGCGCCTTCCGCGTCCCCCTGCGCGCGCATATCCGCTTCAAGGCGGAGCCGCGGGTAGGAGACCTTTCGTTCCGCCGATTCCCATCTGCCGCGGTACCTCCAGCGCGGAGAACAGGCGCAGGCGTGTCGGCGGAAGCAGCTCCCCCTGCGCGGAGCGCGAAGCCATGCGCGCAAAGCAGCAGCGGCAGCGGGGAGCCGTCCGTGTCCGCGTGCACGCCGCTGTCCGTTGGGGCGCGCAGCCAGAGCTCTAGCCCGCGGAGCAGCGGAGGCAGCCGGGGGGGAAGCCAGGGAGGCAGCCGAGGGGGAAGTCCAGGGCGGGGAGCAATCGGCGGAGATGGGGAAAGGACAGTAGCAGATGAAATAGCTGCTGCCAGCACGGCTGCTTGCAATGGTACTCCACCCGCTGCTTCCTCTCCCATATCCTCCCCAGGCGGACAAGCGTCTGCTGCTGCTGCTGCTGCCTCACCCACGTTGCAGAACAGCGTCACCAGCAGTGAGAGTATAGTGGAGGGAGGGGCAGGCAGCGGCAACAGCCCAGGAGGATTGCATGCAGGACAAGGCACAGGAGGAGAGGGGATTATAGCACTGCCTGGTCTCTCTTCCTCGGCAGCAGTTTCTGCAACCCGCCTGTTGTCTCGGCGTCTCACTTTATCTCCCAGCCCGCCTCACTCCCCCACAGCCGCTGCAGCTGCGGCTGCTGCTACAGCAGCGGCGGCAGCAGCGGCGGCAGCAGCGGTGGCGGCTGTAGCGGCATCAGGGCAGCAGGTGACATGGCAGTGGTCAGCAGCTGACCTGGCGGGCGCTGTGAGGAACGCGGGTTGGGGCATTGGTGTTCGCAGCAGCGTGCCACTTGGCACTCACGGAGTGGCTTCTCTCCGCTGGCGGCTCACCCTCCCTCACTCCACCCCCTCTTCTTCCTCCTCCCTACCTCCGCCTCTTCCTGCTCCCAATCCCCCGTCTCGCACCACCACCAGCAACACTCAAAGCAGCAGCGGCTGGTCCTCCTCGTCCTCCCACGCACCGTCCCTGCACTTGGATAAGATCAGTGTAGAGGTGCGCAGCAGGGCCTTCCGCTTCATTCCTGCCTGCTGGGCCATGCACGAACCACCCCCACCAGACGCCCTACCTCAATCCCGGCCGGTGGCTGCTGCTACAGGTGCTGCTGCTGCAGGTGCTGCTGCCACCACCTCCCAGCCGCCCAGCCTGCCCACTTCCGCCACTCTCGTCATGCCAGGTGTCGCGCCTCGACTGCTCCTCATGCCCTCTGGGCCCCTTGGCTTCCGGCCTGCACTGGTGCCGCCAGGTGGCAGCACGGGAGTGGATGGCAGGGCGCAGGGGGGCGCGGGACGGGTGGTGGGAGAGCAGGGGGAGGTGGCACGGCTTCGGGGGGAGCTCGTGGGGCTGAGAGCCGAGGGGCAGCGGCTGAAGCAGCAGGTAGATGAGTTGAGGAGTGCAGTGGGCGAGGGCAGTGCAGGGGAGGGCGGTAAGGCAGGCAGTGTGGGAGAGACCAAGGGAGGGACGGGGAAGGGAGTGAAGGAGGGTGGGGCTGGGCCTGCTGCAGCCGTGAAGGGCACTGCAGGGCGGGCAGAGGCCGGCAAGGGAGGTGGCAGTACTGCTGCTGGTGGTGGAGGCAGTGGCAAGGAAACAAAAACAGCTCCTGCTCCAGGTGCTGCTGGCTCTGCCGCTGCTGCGGGTGGTGCTGGCAGCAAGGGGCAGAGCGGTGGCTGTGGCAATTCTGAAAAGGAGAAGAAGCAAGGTGGAGGGCTCTTCGGTAGGTGGAGGGGCAGAGGAGACAAGAAGGAGAAGAAAGAGGAGAAGAAAGTGAGCTCAAGTGCTACCAGCAGCGGCAGCAGTAGCAGCAGCAACAGCAGTGGTGGTGGTGGTGGTGGTGGCCCTGGTGCAGATGGTGCAGGTGGTGCAGTGAGTGGCAGCGGTGTGCCTGTGGCGAGCAAGGCAGGGCCTGCTGGCAGTGCAGCGGGTGCTGCTGCTGGCACTGAGACTGTGGGACGCACAGGGACACCAAGAGCTGCTGGGGCAGCTGCTGCAGGTGTGGGAGTGGACATCCCAGTGAGCGCAGTCCGGGCTGATATCACTGCTGTGAGGAATGCTCCTGGTCATGGGCATGGGCATGGTGCTCTGTTACATGGCCCAGCACCCATAGAGGGGCATGGGCCAGTGGGGCAAGGGTCACTGGCAGGTAAGGGGGCTTTAAGTGGTAGCGCTGCTGCGATTGCTGCTCAGCTAGAGCTGGAGGAGGAGCTCAGGCAGGCCATTCTGCAGGCGCGGGGAGGGGCTGCATAGCTCACACTTGCTTTGGATTACACCTGATTAGGGACCCTGTGTGGTTTTAGGGGCGGCATGATGTAACCTAGGTACAGGCACTGTTGTGACTTGGCAACTTGGCATGATTTAGCAGTGGTATGACTAGATCCCATGGTAGATTAGATACCTACTACGTTGATGAGACTTGCATAATAGATACTGCAAACTGTACAGCTCACGGTATCCGCGCTGTAGAAATTTTATGACTTGTTCACCTGACAGCACACAACCACGCGAGTCGGCACAGCACCCCCTCACGGGGCCCATACTGCCAGCAGGAGGTGGAGTAGGGCCTAGTAGGCCCATGGACTGGCCGCGATGCCCACAGTACGCACTATAAGTTGGTCGGACCAGAACGTGGAGGCACGTCACATGCACCTAGTATGCTCAACAGTCCCGCCGCTCGTTTCGGCGATGGGACCGAGTGGAGCTTGATCACGAGCAAGAATACGGAGGGAAAACCGTTCGGCTAGCTCAAGAGATGCTGGCTGGCTGTCAGGGGATACTTGCGTTGTTGACTGTTTGGAGAATGGGAGTGTGTCATGCTACATAGTCACATCAGAGTCGGCAGCATATGAGGCTTGGTAGGGTCTGTCTGGTCCGCGTGCATGTCGGACCGTGAGGCTCGTTCCAGGCGACCAGATGTGCCTTGGGACAAACACACTGTTCCCCGTCGGTGCCGCCTTGCCGACATGCGCGCAGAGCGGAGAGCACAGGGGAAGGGTGGCCGGGTGGCGGTGCTGTGCCCTGGCTGGCCCTTGCCGAGTTGCCGTCGTTGGGTCGGGTCGGGACTGGGGACTACGGATCTCAGCTCCCTCGTTGGCGCTTCCAGCAGACGCCATCCACCGGCGGTGCTGCTATGGAGCCTGCCCGAGGCTCAGCCCACTAGTACTCGTTTCAGCTCCGCTCTTTCCTCGTTTTGCATCGTCCTCAGCAGCACGCAGTCGTCGCCACTCAATGCGAAACTTACTCTCAGCTACCCTTTCAGCCATCGCGCTCGCTTAGAGAACATTCGCCACTCGTGCGTTTCCCGGCCCGGAAACCACGGCGGTGAACTCGCCTGCGTCCATCCCTGTGCTCCGCGTGATCATGGCCGCGCTCCTCGCCTGCGTGCTGCTGCTCGGCGCGCTTCTCTCCCCCGCCGCTACCTCCGCAACTGCCACAGCCCTGGATGGCGGACATACTAGCAGCAGCCTGGTAACCAGGGGCCTGTTGCGCGTGTCGCGCGTGCCTCCCCCTTCACTTCGCTCTCCCTCTCCCACCTGTATGAGAGGCCTCTTTTTGCACACCACTCCTGCCGCTCCCTCACTCTGCTCCCTCACTCTGCTCCCTCACTCTGCCCCCCCCGCACAAATGCATCCACACACCCTCATTGTAATATCCTTCCTACTTTCCTCCTCCTACCTCTCTAAAGACAGCATATTCCACCTGCGCTTCCTGCCCTTATTGCTCTTCCTTCCCCTCCTGTCCTCCCGGCCTAACCCCTCCCTGCAGCGACGTGTCCAACAACAGTTTCACTGGACCCTTCCCCTCAGCCATTCTACAGTCGCCGTACTACTACAACCTGTACGTAGCATCAGCGCGCTCCCAGCTCTGCACAGGCAGCACGTCACCATCCCCACGGTGCGCCACTCACAACCTTGATGCACGCAGCATGCCCTACTCTGCTACCGCATGTGTCAGTCTGGCTAGCTTGAAATCAAGGAGCGTGCTTTCATACATTATACTCACTAAGGTCGCCTTGGGGGTTGACGTGAACTGCAGTAGCATCCACTGCGGGACGCCTTTGCTCCACCCTACTCTGTCTGCACGTGAGTCATTCTAGTGGTGCACCCGTTGGCTGCGACCCACATGCTTCTCACTCTGTTTGGGGTTGATGTCTTAGGCGGCGCAAACCACTGTGCTTCCTCTGTGATGTGCCAAACCGTGCCCCAACTAAAAATAACCTTACTGTGTTCTGCGGGATAAGACTTGGCATGCGATCCACTCCTTTGCCCTTATTGCATCCACACAGCAATCTGTCCGCCAACAATTTCTCTGGGCTCCTGCCACCACAGGTCACATCCCTGACAGTAATCACCAGCCTGTGAGTCCCGCTTCAAACCTCTCTCTCTTCACGCCACACCGCCTGCTCTTGCCAACGCAACTTGTCCGGCTTATTTTCTAACCATATCATTTGCAAATGGTTCGATGCTGAGTGTGCTGGGCTTTGCCTATTCCCACATCCCTGCGTGCGTCCCTCCCCCATTAGCGATCCTCCGGTGAAGTTTTTGTGAGGGGGCACAACTCCCCCATTGTTTCACAATCACTTCACCGGAGTTGTGCCCCATGCTGTCTTCACCCTCCCTTAGCTGACGCTCCTGTAAGAACCTTGCTCTCACTGTCTTGCTTTTGACGCCCTTCTTTCTGTGTCGAAGCACAAAAATCTGTTGCTGTGTAGCTGCCACGCGTCCCCTGCTGCCCCGCGCCCCCTGCAGCCATGTCTGCAGCCGTGTGCAGTGCACTTGCTTCATCCCCCCTGCCTTGCCCTCCCTCTCCAGATCCCTCTCTCACAACCAGCTTCAGGGCTCACTTCCTGTAGCGCACTTGTCCTCTTCCCTCGTATCTCTGTACGCAAGCCGTGAGACCGCTGAATAGATTTCTGGGGGGGTGGGCGGGGGAATGCAGGCGAGGGCATGCCGCGGTTGCTTTCCTAATTACACTGCAGCACTGTGCTTTCCTCTGCTGTTCTGCTCACTGCCTGCTGTTTTGTTCCTGCCTCCCCTTGATCCGTCCTGCGCATTCCATGCTTCCATCCTGGATACATACCCTCATATCCCCATGCCCCCATGTCTGCATGGCTCCATGCCTGCGCGCGGTGAGCTTCAAGGCAATGCATTCTCCGGGCCTCTCCCGGACGTGGCTACTTGGAACACATCAGGCCTCCAGACGCTGTAAGCCCCCCCCCTTCTCCCTGCTCCTCTGGAAAGGTTTACAGAAAAGCACCATCACTCAAGCACCATACAGTCCTGCCAGGCCATGCCAAGCCCTGCCCAGACATGCACAGCCCTGCCCAGGTATGCCACATGATGGCTTCATAGGGTTGCAGGCCCATTGAGGCTGTTGGCTAAAGTAAGCTTGCCTGGCCTGGCGTGGCATGGCATGGCATGACATGGCATGGCACGAGTGGCAGGGGTCTTGGAGGGAACAACTTGAGTGGGCCCATACCTGCCACCATGGGCAGCCTTACAAACCTGACGTCCCTGTGAATAATGCACCCATGCTCCCATGCACATGTGCACCCACACAACCATGCACCCACGCACCCATGCACCCATGCCTCTCCTCTACTGGTAAGACTCCATCCCTCACAAAGGGCGCAGCAGCACCCCAAGCTTTGTGGCTTCTAGCCACGCCACATGCATCCATGCCCGCTACACTATACTCCTCCACAGGCATGCACGCTTCGCTTCCGCACTTGTCCCCTTGCCTTCCCTCGTCACTTTCTGCTCATCCCACATCCCAATCCCTTGCAACCACGACCATGCATGATTCACGTGTCCATCTGTCTCGTATGGGCCATCACAGTGGTGCCATGCCATGGCATCGTGCCCCAAGCCATCTGTCAGCACCACACCGCACTGCTGCTCGCTAGACCGATCCTCTCAGGACTCTTCACGCATTCGTGTGTTGCCTGGCTGTTGCCTCCTCTCACTGTGTCCCCTCCCACTGTGCCGCTCGCCTTTCCCGATTGCGCCCCAGTCAACTGCATCCTCTTGCCTTCTGTGACCTCTCCATCTTATGTTCTTCCCCTCGCCTCTCTCCCCCCCTCCCTCCCTCCCTCGCTCCCAGGAACATCTCTGGCTCGGGCTGTCCTGCCCTGCAGACGGCAGCAAGTGTGTGGTGCAGCAGAGCAATGCCACCAGCTTCTGCCGCCTTTGCTTCTCCCTCTGCTCCTCCTGCACGCCCCTCACGTGTGAGTCTCCATGCGCCTTGCTGTGCTGTGATGGTTGGAGCTCGCATGCAGTGCAGCCACTGATGCAGGCTGTGCAAGTGCACCAGTGTACTCATGGTTAATTACTCTTGCGTTTGCTTATGTCAGGGAATCTCTTGCACATGGGATCTATCTGTATCAGGTGAGTATTTGTAGGGTGCGCGCCTGCATGCACTGTGCACGGTTTAGTCGAGTATGTGTCGATCACTACATGAGCTTTTGCCCAATGCTCCAGTGTCAGCTCCCACAGCAACCCCTGCATCCGAAGCAGCACCAGCATCAACTGCAGCACCAGCATCAACTGCAGCGCCAGCAGCACCAGTGCCTCAGGCACCATCTGCCCCTCCCAGACTCCTGCCTCCTCTCCCCACAAGCCTGCATCCAGCCTTTTCACGCCCTCTGCTGCTGCTGTCAGACTCTCTGCTGCTGCTGCTGCTGCTGCCCTCTCACTCCTTGCTTTTGGCATTTAAAATGTGCAGTTGGTGCATAATTGAGGCTGGAAAATTGTTTAGATGGTTGTGGTGTGGTGGGGAGAGGAGGCTGGGCAAGTGTGTACCCGAAATGACGTATCGTTATCCCCAGTTAAGCTTGGTAAAGCGTACAACACTGTAACAGGGTTGCTGTGTGTTGGGCTGAGAAAAGCCCTTACGATCTTTCAGAGACTAAGTCCCACTTGTACAAGATGCTTGAGTAGTGCAGCGGAAGTGTTCAGTAGTTGAACCCTTGCACTAGTATGTGAGAGCAAGCGATTGATTAAAAGAAGCAAGCATACAGCAATATATAGAAAACAGGAAATAGAGCAGTTGTAGAATACAGTTGAAGAAACGGTTATCGAGTCGCACAGCGACTCGATCGTTGGTTCGGTTACCACCCTTGCAGTCGTAACGGTCAGTCGCAACCTCCGGTTGCGATCCTTCGAGTCCCTTCGTCCTTTCGTGTTCTTTCGTCCAACCTCCTCGTGTAACCTCCGTTGACTCGCGTACTCGATACTGTCAAATGTAACTTAGGTTGTTACTGTAGACTATACTGGATTGTGCCTTAGAGGGTACAACACCCTAGTCTATATATCCTTGTACACGCACATTCTAGTTCAATCATTTTTCTTTATGATATGGTATCATAGTAGGTTAGATCCCCCCCTAGCCCGCTCACGCTTCCGCCCCTACGTTCCTAGCCGGGCCCCCCCTGGCCGTCGCGCTCTTTCCTAGCCGGCCCCCTGGCCGTACGCGCCTGCCCCTAGCCGCCCCCCTGGCCGTTCGCGCCCGTCCCTAGCCGGCCCCCTGGCCGTTCACGCCCGTCCCTAGCCGGCCCCCTGGTCGTTCACGCCCGTCCCTAGCCGGCCCCTGGCCGTTGCGCTCGTCCCTAGCCGGCCCCCTGGCCGTCGCGCCCGTCTCTAGCTGGCTCCCTGGCCGTCGCGCCCGCTCCTAGCCGGCCCTCTGATCGTCGCGATCCCTCCTAGCCGGCCCCCTGACCGTCGCGCCCGTCCCTAGCCGACCCCTGACCATTCGCGCCCGCCCCTCGCTGGCCCCCTAGCTGTCGCGCTCGCCCTTAGCCAGCCCCCTAGCCGTCGCGCCCGTCTCTCGCTGGCCCCCTGGTCGTCGCGCCCGCTCCTAGCCGGCCCCCTGCCCGTCGCGATCGCTCCTAGCTGCCCCCCCCTGACTGTCGCGCTCGCCCCTAGCCGGCCCACTAGCCGTTCGCGCCCGTCCCTAGCCGCCCCCCTGGCCGTTTGAGCTCGCCCCTAGCCGTTGCGGCTGCTTCTAGCCGACGTCGCGGCCGCTTCCTGCCGTCCCTCGGCCGCCCTTAGTCGTCCCGGCCGCCCCTCGCCGTCGTGGCCGCCCCTAGCCGCCGCCGCTGCCGTCTCCAGCCGCCTCACGGTCGCTCCTGCCGTCGCGGCCGCCCCTCGCCGCTGTCGCGGCTGTCCCTGGCCACCGTCGCGGCTGCCCCTGGCTGTCGTCGCGGCTGTCCCTGGCCGCCGTCGCGGCCGTGTCTACTTGCCGCCCGCCGGCCGGCCCCTGCATTCGCGCCGTCGCTGGCCCGCCGCTGCCTCGGGTTCGGCCCGTTCTTCCCGATCAGCACCGCCCTCCGAACCCCCCCGGTACCGTACTGCATCGCTTTGCACCGCACTGCATCGCTTTGTACTGCACTGCACTGCACCGCATTGCACCGCACTGTACCGCACTGCACCGCACTGCACCTCTTTGTACCGCACTGCACCGCACTGTACCGCACTGTACCGCACTGCACTTCACTACACAGCACTGCACCGCCCTACAACGCACTGCACCGCACTGTCCTACTCTACACTGCCCTCTATTGTCACTCATGGCGGCGGTGCTTTGCTTTGACGCTGAGGGCCAGCCGATTGAGTTTGATGCGTGGCTTGCTGACCTCCGTCGCCATCTCACTGGTCAGCGGCAGGATGGCCACTCGCTGCCTGTCCATCTTGATGGTACCCTCCCCTGCCCTGACCCCCCCGCTGCACTGTCTGCTGACCCCTCGTCCGCTGAGCATGAGTCCGCTGCAGCCGCTGCCCTTGCTCGTTCTGTCTGGCTGTCCCGTGACGATGTTGCACAGCTTGCTATTAGCAATGCCCTTCCCCTGTCCGAGCGACCTCGTTTCAGGTCTATCACCACTGCCCAGGCTTTCCTAGATGCTGTTGTCCAGCGCTATTCCACCCCGCCTGCTGCCTCGGTCGGTCGTCTGATCCTCCCCATGCTCTTTCCTAACCTTGTGTCGTTCCCCACTGTCGCCGACCTGGCCGCTCACCCGCGCACCATAGCTGAGACCTGGCGTGCTGCCTGCACCCCCACACAGCTTCTAGCCCACCAGCCGCCCCTCACCTCTACTCTCTACCTGCTAGCCACCCGCCTCCCTGACCGTCTTGCCACTGCCCGTGACCGCTTTCTTAGCGTCCACCCCGCAGACCTTACCCTCACTGACTTTGTTGACACCTTGTCCGCTATAGAGGCCCGCCACCGCTCTATCGCTCAGACCAACGGTACTGTGTTGGTCCCTATCTTTCAGGGTTGTGCCCCAGCTCAGTGCACCTTCTCCGACGGTTCTGCTGCTGTGGCTGAGACTGCCGCTGCCGCACAGGTTTGTCCGGGGAAGGGTCGCCGCCCCAAGGCTGGACGTGGCGACGGGGGTGGGGGTGCGGGTGTAGGTGGTGCTGGAATTGGGTCACCTAGTGGTGGTGTTGACGCGGGGACCCTGCCAGGTGCAGCCGAGCAGCCGTCTCAGCAGTCGCCGGTGTTGCCGCCGGACCCGCGCCAGCCGCAGCAGCCGCAGCTGCAGCCGTCACCGCAGCCGCAGCAGTCACAGCAGCAGCAGAGGCGGACGAGTCGTCTTCAGCCTGGGTGGCCCGGCGCTGATGGGAGCGCTGGATGTGGTGGTGGTGCGCGTGGTGGGCTGCTGAGTGGTGGTTCGGGTGCCGCCGCTATCATTACCTGCTTCAGACCAGTCCTCGCCGTGGCTTTGTTTGCGGTAAGATCGGTCATACCTCCGTCCGCTGTTTCCGTCCCCTGGACGACCTGTTTCGTCAGCGTTTCGGCCCGTCGCCCGAGCTCCTGGACTGGCACAGTTTGCTTAGTCGTAGGGTTCAGATTTTTGATCTGGACATGGATGTGTTTGTTGCTGCTCTGCATGTGATGTATGCTGATGACTCTAGTGTGCTTCCGTCTTATTACCCCTTGTTGCCTAGTCTAGGTGTGCCTTGCTTAGACTCCCCTGCTGCGTCAGGCGTAGGATCCCCTGCTTTGTTTAGCCTTGGTGCTTCCGTAGCTACTTTGTCTCCGACTGCCACTGCCGCGCTCTCCTTCACCCTCGACTCTGGCGCTTCCCGGTGCTTCTTCCACGACTCCACCAGGTTGACACCGCTTCCTGTCCCTGCCGCAGTCTCTCTTGCTGACCCCTCCTCCGGCCCTGTAGTCGCCCGCATCTCCACCACCCTCCCCTGCCCGACGGTTTCTTCGGGCTCTCTCACAGACCTGCACATCCCCTCGTTTTCCAGGAACCTAGTTGGTGTCGGTTGCCTCCATGACCTTGGTGTCACCACTACGTTCCCTGGTCACGAGCGGTACGCTGTCTGTACCGAGGCCGCCTCTGGTGCCCCCCTTACCACGTTCCCCCGGAACCCGGTGTCCGGACTGTTCACACAAGACACTGTGACCCCCATGGCTAGGACCCCCCCTCAGGTGGCTGCGTCTACCCAGGTTGCTGCTGCCTGCTCCTGTCGGTCACTCACCCACCTGACTCTCCTGTGACACCACCGTCTAGGTCACCCTGCGCTCCCGCGTCTGCGTCACATGTTACAGCACGGTCTTGTCCTAGGCCTCCCTAGGTCGTCCTCTGAGTTTCCCTCCTCCCCTGCCCCACCTTGCACGCCTTGTGTCGAGGGCCGGCTTCGCCGTGCTCCTCACTCCTCCTCGTTTCCCCCTACCGCCGCACCGCTACAAACTCTGCACATGGACGTCTGGGGTCGCGCACTCGTCCATGAGCCGCGTCGAGAGCGCTACTTCCTAGTGCTTGTCGACGACTACACGCGCTACACCACGGTGTTCCCCCTAGAGCGGAAGGCCGACGTGCCAGCCGTTCTTATCCCGTGGCTTGTCGCTGCGCGTGTCCGTCGCGATCTCCCTGTCTTGCACCTCCACTCCGACCGTGGTGGCGAGTTTGCCTTTGGTGTCCTCTTGTTCACCTTGCCGGACTCCTCGCAGCAGAATGAGGTCGCTGAGCAACGCATCGGTTTGGTCATGGAGGTGGTTCGCACCTCCATGATCCATGCCGGTGCACCCCATTTTCTATGGCCGTTCGCCGTTCGCTACGTCGCTCACCAGCTTAACCTGTGGCCGCATCCCCAGCAGCCTCAGGTTTCGCTGACCCTCCTTTGGTCTGGGTCACCTGTTGACGCGTCTGCGTTCCACGTCTGGGCTGTCTTGCTCAAGTTCGTGCCTCTGGCACGGACAAGCTCACTGCCCGCACCCTTCCCTGTGTCTTCCTCAGCTTCCCCCTTGATGCGTCTGACTGGCACTTCTACCACCCGCCGTCTCACAGGTTCTTTCACTCTCGTGACGTCACCTTTGACAAGTCCGTCTCCTTCTTCCGCCACTTCCCCCAGCGAGGTCCCCCGGTTTCCCCCCCCTTGTTCTTTGTCACCCCTTCCCTGGTCGTCGCCGCCCCTCCTCCTCCCCCTCCTCGTCCTGCCCCCTCTGGTGTGTCCCACGTCACCCCACTTATGTCGGTTGTTCCGGTTGAGGAGTCTACTGACTCTGGTAGTCCTGCTCGCAGTCCTCGCCGCCTACCATTTCTCAGGTGTCTCCTCCTCTGCCGCCTCCACAGCCGCAGTCGCCACCGCTGTCGCAGCCGTCGTCACCGCCGCCGCCGTCGCCGCAGCCGTCGCCGCAGCAGGTGGTTGCCTCTGGGGGTGCTGGAGTTGGGGTGGGTACTCGTCCTGGGACTCCTATCGTGGCTTGTCTCGGCGGGCCTGGGGGTGGTACCGGTGCTCAAGGGATTCTGAGCTCTGGGGGTGTTTCCTCTGGGGGTACTGGTGTGGAGTTTTCTGGAGGTAGCCGCCCGGCAGCTTGCGGTCCCGGTGTCGGCGTCACACCGCTGTCACAGCAGTCCCCGCCAGTGTCCGCTCTTCGCCTGCTCGGCCTTCCGTCCCCTGACCCCGTGCCCATCCCT